ATGAATGCACTGCCGTCGAGTCGGATCTGACTCATAGCGACCCCTCCTTGGGTTTCTGAGGTGGTATCTCTATGGAAGTAGATTGCCCAACCTTCCTTCCGAGGAGTGGCTGGTGGGTTTGAACCGCCAGCCTTCTGGTTAGCAGTCAAGTGCCTTAGGCACTACACCACCAGAGCTCCTCACAGTGCTATGCTGTCTCCTTTACCTCTTGTCCATTTAAATCGAAGTCTCCTAAAGACATAACCTGTTGTTGCTCTTCTGGGTTGTGGGAGGACCAGTGAAAAGTAATGCTTCTCCACTCTCTGTTTTTGTTATTCTAAGGCATAGAAATATTTAAATAGTAGTCCACATTAGAATTGAAAGCCAAATACTGAGTTTCTTTCATTTCATTAAAAAGTTCCTTAATCTTTACATCGTTCCCTATGTAAAAGCCAAGCAGAATTTTATCAGGCAATTGCCTCAAAGTTATAATCTGGAAAATCTTTCTGTAATGAAACCCATATGTCATGGGTGAAAGGTGCAAAGCCCTGGCAGAGAGGGCTGGTCTCATGAGAGATTCTGCACCCAATCTCGTTAACCAGGGTGCCTCCAGTAATCCCTCATCCCCTCACCGGTGAGAAATCAATCTGTACCACTGAATCTCTTTCAACCAGCCACCAGAAAATTTACTGCAGGGAAGGCAGAGTGGGGATAGTCATTGTGGAAAGAGCCAGAGGCAAGGCTAAATGTAAGGTGGCAGAATTGGAGCATCCAAAGCAGAGATTATATTAAACCACATACCACCTTCAGAGCAAGTGGAATAGAGTCCTCCCTTCAGCCATGACCTCTCTAAGTATACCCAGGTATTTACAACTGCCGTGAACCTGACAGCCTGTGAGAAACTACGAAGGGGGTAATCGAAGCAGCATAAACTTGGAAGTTGATTGTAGTTTATCCACTTGCTGCCTCAAGGGTGTGAGTGGTTTCTTCTCCCACACTCTACTGCAGTTCACATGTTAGCCCTGTGGGGACCGTCTCTATTGTGGATTTCTCAGTTTATGATCTCTGCACTTCATAGGAGGGCCTGTAAATCAGGACTGGACAGGGAGGTCATGCCTCCCTTCTGCACAACACACAACATACACTGTGGTGGCTGATGGCCATTAGATCCCTCTTGGCATAGTTATTAGAATGCGATTGGCAGCGGTTTCTTCCTGTTGAGACTTGTAGTCTTAGGGAATAAATCCAGAATCAGAAAGTAGTTAATAAATTTTCCTGACTCTAGATGAAACTCTCTAGCAATCTTATTGTCTCTAGGATTGTTTTCTGTGTAATACATTAGGAAAAGAAAAGAACCAGGAAAGAAGGGAAGAACTAGAATTGCCAAACTGAGGACCATGTAACCTTACCCTGGCCTTTATGCTAGAATTATACCAAGCTATTGGGAAGGATGGAGCTAGGAGGGGGAATAGAAATCACTTCCTCTCCTCCACCAGCAAGCAGTTGTTGTTGTTGTTGTTGTTATTTGCCGTCCAGTCGGCCACGACTCATAGTGACCCCTCCTTGGGTTTCCGAGGCAGTATCACTACGGAAGTGGGATTGCCCAACCTTCCTTCCGAGGAGTGCTGGCGGGTTTGAACCGCCAGCCTTCTGGTTAGCAGTCAAGTGCCTTAGGCACTATGCTACCAGAGCCCCTCCAGCAAGCAGTAGCCATCTCTAAAGGATTTTTCCCAAAGGGATTTGAAATCCGTGGTGGGAGTTTTTTTGTTTTGTTTTGTTTGTTTTGTTAATAAAATGCATTTACATATAAAACCCTACTAGAGAGAGAGAGAGAGAGAGAGAGAGAGAGAGAGTGTGTGTGTGTGTCTATGTGTGTGTGTGGAAGAGGAACACAGAGTAGTAGCAGAAGGCTGTCTCCCTACTCCTAATGGGATTTTGTAGCAGCATGTGCGAGTTTGTTTCAGAAGTCAAAAATGAACAGATGTTGGTATAAATTACCTCTGTGTCTGATGTCTTGCAAATTAAAAGCGCGGTTGGCATCACTAAACAATTTGACTAGGTTTGGGGGGGGTGCGGTTAGCGGGTGGTGATTACTGTAGCAGGTCTTGGTAAGAGTCTTCGTTCTGCAGCAAAGCAGGAGAGCAAGGAGAAGGAAATGAGGAATAAAATGAGGGGTATGTGAATTAATCAGAAATGTTAACATCGCTGATGACAAGTGAACAGGAGGGCACGTGCTCTGGAGCGGGCCCCAACCCACAGCAATTTCTCTGTGTGCGTAAAGGGGCTGGTGCTTAGGATCTGATTTATAGGGCACAGCCCTCTTTTAGGGAGCACTGTGTCATGGGTTCGTATATCTCCTATATGGGACTGCAAGTAGGAAAACTTTCTCCCCTCCCATGTAGAAGATGATGTCTCCTGAATTACTTCTACTTTTACGGTGGTTTCCTACTGCTCTGTGTACTTGGATTAGGTTGGAGGGGGAGAAATGATTGAGCAGAAGAGGGGTTCTTAAAAAGGATTGGTTAAATTCAAGGAGAACTTGCTACTGAAAGACTTTGAAGTAGCCATTTATTTTTCCTTATAGACTCTTCTGTCCTTCAAACAGAATAGGTCTCTTTTTATTTTCTCTTAAAATATTGGCCATTCTTCCATTTGGAGAAAACAAATATAGGAGAGAACTGAGAGACCTGCAGGGCAGCAGGCAGAAATAATTAGCAAGATCAGAGCCAGGTCCATGACCCAGGACTGTGGAGCAAGGCTTTGGTCTGCCCAGTAAAGTGTTTGTATTGCCCCATGTCTGGATTCCAGAGCTCCTGCTTCTGACTATGTCTCAGGATCACTTAATACCATGTTTGAAAGTCCTTAATAATCACTCAAGTAGGCAGTAACTCGTAACCCATCCAATAGAAATAAATGAGGAGACTGACTCTGCCTGAAGGTATAGTGAATTCCTACAAGATCAGGCAGAGAGATTCCAAGGAATGGAATTTTTGAGATCACTAACCTCCCTTATCACCATTCATTCATTCATTTACTCACTCAGCCAATAACAGGTATCATTGTTATAACCACTATACCAAGCATGTTCATTACTGTTATTCAAAGGAAGCTTACGACAGCACTAATATGCTCCTCTTTTACAGATGAAGAAACTGAGGCTCAGAGATTTTACCCAGTCCAAAGTATCACCCAGCTGCTAAATGCTAGAGCTGGAACTTAAACCGAATTCAAGCCTGTGTTCTCTGAAAGAAGCGTATGCCACATACCATAGGCAATAAAGTACTGGCTGGGTTTTCTCTAGGGTAGTTAGTTTTTGACCCCTGATTTTGCCACTTATCTGGCATTGTTTCCATCCAGGGAAATAATTTTTCTTGACAAATAAACAAGGTACATTGAAAAAGAATCCCATAATGGAGAAAATGAAGCACTGAGGACCACTAATTAGTCGTATTAATTGTCTGTGGAAAGGAAAAGGTTAGCATTTAACGTGTTCCCACTTGGTTCTCATTCTTTTGTATATTATCATTCATTCAGCCAACATTTTTTCAGCATATACTAGGCCTAGCACTATGCTAGATGCAGGTGATACAAAGAATAATAACACATGATCTGTACCCTCAGTTCTTACAGTTTGGTAGAGAAAGCCAAGTAATTGCATACATTTTTTATAAGGAGCAATGGTGTAGGAGAAATTCTACCAAGGATTTGGGTGGGATGGGGTTGTAGGCACATGAGGCAAGACCTATCTATCATTTGGACTTCCATTCCTAGGTAATAGAATCCCCTTTGCCTTTGTTGGAGGCCAGGAACTTGTTAAGGATGGGGAATCAGAGACTGCAGTTACCAGAAACCTCCCAGGGTTATAGTTTGTATTGTTTTCTTTCTTAGTTGTACAAACAAACAAGAAACTGTTTAACTTAGGCAGTGAGTTGGAGAGCCCACTCATGTAGCACCATTTGCGCTAGACTTGGGAAAGGCAGCAAGGAGGTTAGGGCAAAGGTCCTCCTCCCTGAAGGTATCTCCCTAGCTACCTCACTTCCTTGGCCAAGATGGAAACATGTTCTGTTCTTGGGAGGCCAGGGGGCACAGCTTGCCCTGTGCCTGCTGTGTGGTTCCAAAAGACTTCCAGTCTCCAGGGCCAGCCACTGGGAAACTTTCAGCCCTGTTAAATCCGTTTAAGAGATCTGAAAAGATGACCTCGTGGGATGAGGATGGAGGGGGGTGTTACGCTACCCAAGCTTTTTGAGGATTTGCGTGACAGAGCTGAAATAAGGGGCGTCTAGAGTGACCCTTGTAATTGAGAGACGTTTCTCTTTCATTTTGGGACCTCATATGTAGGAGAGTAGCTGTATGAACCCTCTGGCAACTACAGCATCCAAAGATGGATGGTGCTGAAAGTCAGAGAAAGACACGTAAACCCTGCCTGGCTATAGTAATATCTAAGGACTGACAATGCCAAGAGAGAGAAGACCAAAGCTCTATAAACCCTACTTTATTACACAATCCACAGATGAACTGCACTGAGGGAATATAAACCCTAGTATTTGGCAGTATCCAGGGGCCGCCGCTGCTGAGAGGTGGGGTAATGATCTCTGATTTTGATTTGAGATCATAAATGTCCAGAGACCAACAACTCGGGAATGACTCTAATCTTGGTTGGATTTTAGCCTCGGAGGGCGAACCCTCTAGAGAGGGAACATGTGAGTACAGGTTGGATTCTTGAAGGAGTGATAGGTTTTGAGAAATCCTTGATGATTTTTTTTAAGTGTTGATGATAAAGTCTTCCCCAGTTGGCCTACACCTTACAGTGACTGCCAGCATGAGAACAGCTTTGCCAGGTTTTAGCTGGCAGTTGTGATTTGTTTTTCCCCCTTCTAGGAGGTTAGTGGTGGTTGAACCTGTTGTGGTGACAGTTTTTCATACAATGTAAGTCATTGTGCATTTTTTAAATTAAATCTTCCTATGAGCCCTTTTTCACATTTGAGGTTTTCATTGACCTTTCATTTGCTTTGTGATTCCAGCCAGAGAGATGACACGAGGGAAGTTCCTCAACATTCTAGAGAAGCCCAAGAAGTAGCAGCTGCTCGTGGATGGATGTCCTGGGAACCGTAACCGTGCTTCCTTCCCAGTGCGGCTCTGACTGTGCACACCTCACTGCTTCCTCGGGAGAGGCCGGAAGGGGTACTTCCAGGACTGACTCCCTCCCTTGTTCCTGGCACTCTGCTCCTCTGAGAACTTCCGGCAACAAGAGAAGAATCTGGTCTACCCAAGGATCATTGCAGTTTCCAGTCAGCTTCCAGATTTCGACGTACTTAGCCTTGGATGTGGCCAACACCAGAGGGTGTGTCATTCTTAAAGGTTAAAGTCCTGCTTTCTCATTTCCAGAAGTGATTCAGGAGCCCCAGAATCTTATAGTTGATTTGATTCAGTGATGGCAAAGTCAATTGTGATATGTTGATTGGATGGGTTCTTTTGAGTTGCACTTGATCTGTTAGGAAAGTATTTATGATGCAGAGAAACTAGAGACCAACCGGATTCTAAACCAGTCCATGCAGCCTAACCTGTGAACTCTTCAGTGTATATGAGGTTTCAAGAATCCCCAGTTGGAGAAACCACAGTCTCCTTAAAATACCTAGTTGGTTTTTCAATTCTTTACTTCTTGTGACAGTCCCATTCCCCAATGCCTTCCTTGCCTCCCAGCTCCTGCCATTGGTTCTTACAGGGGACTTCTGAGTGACAAGTCCCTCCTGGGATTAGCTCGTCTAGTGAAAGCCTCGTGCAAGGTTACATTGGGTTCTAGACCTCAAGGCCAATATGAAAGTAGAAGAAAGAACTCTTGAATGCTAGATAATCTGTTACAGATGCAAGTCAGGTATCTGGCCTGAAAGATAGAAAAGGGGGCTGATTCGCAGGAACCCATTTGGTTAGAAACTAGAAAGCCTAACAGACCTTAAAAGAAGTGTGCTGTGGGGTGGTGGCAATGTTTTGTCCCCCTTGTCCCCTCATATAGCTCATTTCAGATACTTCACTATCTGACAAAAATACACCTACTCACAAGTGCAGGAGAGAAAGAGAATTTCCTGATTGAGATACAACGCTTAGGAAGCTCTTCGCCAGTCATCTGCCCCATGTTAAAATGTCAAAATTTGGTCCATGGGCAAAATCAATTGCACGTGCTCTCCTTGTTTTGTCTTATACACCAGCCCCAGCCTCTGATGTTTAGAAGTACATGGCATTTCTACACTGGATGAAGAGAACATCCATGTAGGAATAGTGTGATGGCATTGGACACAAGTAAAGTCGTGGTCGAGTTTTTGGTCCTGAGTGTCTGTGCTAGGGCTCCACACTCCAGTTTAACAGCTGGTCCATCAGTGCTTGTGCCTTGTTTCCCGTGTAGAACTAATGTTGGGTTTACGGTCCTTTGTGCCATTTGACTATCCATGCAATTTTACCAATTGAAAAGGAAAGAAGATTGACTGTGAGATACCAAGAGTGAGGAAAGAGGAACATATTCTATTCTGCCTTGTGCTACGGAGAAGTTTAGGTTGTAGAAGCTTTGCTTTTAAGTTAAGTTTGTTGGCATTCCTTTATCTCACTGAATGCGGTTGAAGTGTGTGTGTGTGTGTGTGTGTGTCCGTCCAAAAAACAATGCCATAACGTCAAATTTTTCCTTTGCTCTGTTTTTGAGAGTTGATTACATCGGGCACTTTTTAATGCTTGGGGAAATGCTTTGGGTTATTTTCCCCAAAAGTCTGTAACTCAAGTCTGTAACCTAAAGCTACAAGGTTGGTTTTCTGGTCTGCTTTGGCCTCTTTCTTTACTGTCATCTTATTCACCAGCACTTACATGGAAGTAGATGTTTTAGAATTACAATATTTATTGGTTTTGTATTTGTCGTCCTTAGAAATGTTAATGATGTATTTTTATATTGATAATATAAATTTATGTACAGTATGTGCGTGTGTGTATTTCAGGATGTTAGAGGATTGTACTTTGTATATGATGGTTTCTGTGTCTTCATAATAAATATGTCCCTTTTATAGGAGAGTGAGTCAAAATCTTTCTGTTTGCAGACTTCCAGTTAAGCATGACAGACTGCACACGAATATTTCCTGCCACCTACCAAAACCCTCACTGTGAGCTCCTTTTCAGTCCTGTTCAGGAACTGGAGAAGAGAATGTCCTGATCAGTCCCACTCTGTGAGAAAAAGCTCCTCTGCTGCCCGTATCACGTTGTCCTGATGTGGCCCTTGTTGACAGCTCACTGTCCTCATGGTAACAAGGGAATTGCATCAAGAGGACATCCCACCTGATGGTTTCTAGGAGAAAAATAAGCAAAAAAGCAATGGTACTGTCACACAACAGAAACTATCACCTGTTGGTTGTTTCCTGCTCTGGACCTGAGCAGGTCCTTTTAGAGAAAACACTCTCTTATAAGGAAAGCAAATCACTTATCATCATTGGGTCCTCATTTATTTCCCAGGAAAAAAACACCTGAATGGACAGTCACTGTCTGACTGACTGAGTAAGTAACCAAACAGGGTCAACAGCAGGAACGTTCTCCTCTAGGCCTTTAAAGATCATTTTCTGGCTGTCTCTCAGATTCCCTTTTCCATTCTGAGTCTGTCCTTGTAAGCCATCTGTTGGCCGTAGGCAACATCATCCTGAGGAGGCATCGCATTGGTGCTTACAGGCACATTTTCAGATTCTTACTAAAATCTTTTCTTACCAGTAGTCTCACCGCTTCTTTTGTGTGTGTGTACGTGTGTGTTATAATTATATATGTAACCAAACATTTACCATTTCAACATTCTTCACACATACCAAAAAAAAAAAAAAACCAAACTCACTGTCATGAGTCGGATCTGACTCATAGCAACCCCTCCTTGGGTTTCCGAGGCGGTATCACTATGGAAGTAGATTACCCAACCTTCCTTCCGAGGAGTGGCTGGTGGGTTTGAACTGCCAGCCTTCTGGTTAGCAGTCAAAAGCCTTAGGCACTATGCCACCAGAGTTCCTTTCACATATACAGTTCAGTAATAACTTGCATTGATCATGTCATTGAACCATCACCCTTATCCATTCCCAAATTTTTCCATCACCCTTAACAGAAACATGGTGTCCCATAAGTACTGAGTCCTTTCTCCTTCCTTCCAGCTTGCCCCCTTCACCACTGATAAACGTAGATCTTTATACACTTGCCTCCTGTAGGCAGATATTTCATGTAAGTGGGATCATACAATATCTGTCCTTCTGTAGTCTCAGCACTTCTTGTTCTCATCGGTCTCTCAGGTTTTGAGCCTCTGATTTGCTTGGCTTTTCTTCCATAGTCAAAAAAAGTTCACAGGATGTTAGTCGTGTTGAATCGAAATACCAACTGATCTTTCTGTTCCCCATTTATCGTATTTTTTTCATGGATACTTGCTAACTGCTCCTTGTTTTTCATTCTGTTTACTGTAGCTCCTCTGTCTTCTGGACTCATGCAAGTCAGGGTAGTGAAAATGGAATTGGTAAAAGTCATTCCATTGCTCCTGTGGCTTCTGAAGGATGTTTGGACTTCCGTAGGAACTTTGTAACGAAGCCAAGAAGTTTCATCTCCAGTGCAATGCTCTGATCCCTGCTGTTCCCTCCAGGATTCAGGGATCACAAGATGGTGGACTGGCAGAGAAGGGAGTCAGGAAATGGGCACATGGGCCAAGGTGCACTGTGTCAGGGGTCAGCTTCCTTACCAGCTCAACTTCATGACAAATCCCATCTCCAAGCATTTGGTTATGTTCTCTAGTTTCTGTTTTCTTCATCCCTTGGAAGCTGCATGACTCCCCTCAGGACTGCTGCATGGGTTTCATTTCACCAGAGTGCCTTGCAAACATCCCACCGATACACCCCCAATAAAGCAGGCATACAGTAGTCTCTCCGAGCTCAGAAGTTCTGACTGGGCTGTAACTGGCTCATCTTGTCTGTTTCGGCTTTTTGGCCCTTTGAGGATATGTCCCATAACCTTCCCAGCTTTGCATGGCACAATTTCTTCTTGAGTAGGGAGCATTCAGGGGCTTCAGGTGGCATCACATGGCACCATGAGACTCCTGGTTGGCAAGGGTGCTGGTGGAGCCTCTTAATCAGCACAGGAACTCTTCAGTGCTCCATTAGCTGGGCCGAGCATTCGGAACCTTCCCTCCTGTGGGCCCTTCCTCCTAATGAGAGCTGGAAGAGGGGCCCTCACAAAACACTGCCTCTGAATAATATTCTGCTTTGTCCCCACCAGTAACCAGGGCTGACAGGATCACTCTGTCCATTTCTCTTCTAATTAGCACAATTCCAGCATGGCCTGAGCCAGCAAATGGAGAAAAGCGATCAAAAGCGATCAGACAACCGTAGCGAATCACAAACACAAAGAGGGCCATTCCCCATAATTAGGTGAGACAATTCCTCAGTCTTTTCTCGGCTGGAGTTTGCCGCTAAGACTCTTGCTGTTTGGGTCCCAGCAACACAAGTTACATGTCTCCCTGGGACACTAATAAGCCCCAAATTGCCTTCCGCTTCACACAACTCTACCCAGAGGACAGATGCGGGGGGAGCACAGTGAGGGGACAAGGTCTCCAAACACACAGCTGCTGCAATGTTTCCCCAACTCCAAGAAGCAGACACAGGCTGAGGGTGGAAGGGAAGAGGCAGTGGCTTGACCCTAGAGCCCAGTGCAAGCTGGTCCCTGTCCCTTGAAGCACTTAGGATTTCTGACCCAGGGAAGCCCGTTCTCCGACGTTTCCCTTGCCCTGTTCATTCTCTGCCTTCTGCTTGTTGTCCCCTTTTGGCCTCCTCTCCCCTTCTCCCACCGGTGGTATCATTCCTGGAACTACATGGAAGTCCTATGCCAACCAAAACTCTGTACAATTATAGTTTAAATCTGAAGGATGGCTACCACGCAGCCTACAGGTAAATTCTGCCCTTGAGCTCATGACCTAGAAGGGGCATCCCCTTCCCCACTCACTTTGGGCCTCACTTCCAACACCCACCACTTTCTTGTCTCTGGCTCTTCCCCAATCCCTGCCACTCTCTCACTTGGAAGATTCCTGGTGTTTTTTAAAACAGAAAAATGGTCCCTCAACGGCCAGGGCAAGAAGCCATAACTAGTCTCA